AGTATCTGTATAACTAAATAGGAGTATCTGTATAACTAAATAGGAGTATCTATATAACTAAATAGAAATATCTGTATAACTAAATAGGAGTATTTGTATAACTAAATAGGAGTATCTGTATTACTAATTAGGAGTATCTATATAACTAAATAGGAGTATCTGTATAACTAAATAGGAGTATCTTTATAACTAAATAGAAATATCTGTATAACTAAATAGGAGTATCTGTATCACTAAATAGGAGTATCTGTATCACTAAAGGACCTGTTTACGAAATTTCAAATGACCTTTGATAAATCATTGAACCTTTATGTGAGGAAAAATTAGCGATAAATTCTTGTTTTTATTTATGAAATGTGATAATATTAAATTGCGATTGCAATTCGCAGATTTATGCATCAGGGACAAGGAGGAAAATTGACAGAATTTATCGATAGAAATACTATAATCTCTTCAGCTGTATGCATTCTGAGCTAAACACTTTGAAACTAATGTGATTAAAAAAGACGTTTTACATCAAACAAAATTGCTAAGACATATACAATATCCAAACCGAAAAATATCAATGCCAAATTTTGACAAATACGTTTTTATGTTTTTTTCCTTTAATGCCTTTAAAATGGTTATAAAGAAAGGAACAAAATAATGATCTCGATATTCACAGTTTTAACTTTTAAATCTAAGAATTAAAGTTTAATTCCTTGGTTATTTAAGAAATCCATCTTAAGATAGATCATTTAGCAAAGGTTTAGTACAACAACTTAAATTACATTATATATCGAACGGGGTTAATTAAGACAGCGCGCATACCGTCCAGTTTTGCCTTACAAGTCTGTATTTGTACTGTACAGCTTGCTTAAGCTGATTCAAATTTGGCCTGGTACTTAAAATGAACCAAAGCTGAGGTTACAGTGTATATAAAAGAGGAGTAGTCAGGGGGGTGGCTTTGGGGACTAAGCCCCCCCCCTTGACCAGTGAAATCTATGAATTTCAGGGGATTTTCAGGCCCCCAATAGGTTCTGTGCCCCCATGGAAAGAAAAAAAATTTAAGCCCCCCGGAACAAATTTCTGACTACGCCCCTGGTGGACATGAACCGATTTAAAATCCCAAAGTTCTGACTTGTGTATATTTCTAGATTCAGCTAACTGCCAGCAGTTCTGCTACTCTACCCCTGGCTGCTCTGCCTTTACACATTTTGAAGAGTCAAGCGAAGAGTCCAGGAACCCAATTTAATTAATTTGAATTGTCTACCGACTAGAGATGAGCGACTTTGCTGGTGAACGATTGTTCTTTCTCGGGAAAGAACAGAATTATCAAAACGATGCCATTAAATAAATTGGGGAGGAGGTGTTTTCACCCAATGATGTTGCCCTTAGAGTTGAGATAAATGAGTGTAATACATGTTCTTTTCCTAGGCCTGCTCATTAAAACAATAGACCCTTAATTTAAATGATAAGGAAGTATGTATATTTTAATTTTTGACAAATTTTGACGTGTGAGTCATGTTATCACATTAATTTTTTAGGGCTTTTCAAAAATGTAAGTTTTATATCTGTAGCTCAAATAATAGAAAAGTAATGGACTCTCTCTTTTAGCTAAAGGCCCTTTTTCCTACCTTAATCTTTAACTTTAAATCAGTGGTTCAAATTTGAACCGGCTGTAGGTAGTTCAGCAATGTAGCTCAAATTAATTAAATTCGGTCCTGGGAAATGTGTTCTCTTCAAGGACTGCAATGGCAAGTTGTCTGATTGTAAGGATTGCATCAGGTGTACTTTTAGAACTTGAACTGTTTCTAGCTTGAAAGTGTTTAATTCTTACTATTTCCTCCATTATCTCTGTAGCGGAGATCTGTAATTCACTGTGTATGAATACCAATAAGTAAAAATATCTAATTTGCAAAAAGAAGATTATTGATATTGCATCCAAGCTTGATTAAATCAAGTTTGTAATAGTACCATTTTGAATCAGACATGCCACTCTTTTTATGTTGGGGTACAAACCCCAGGACCTTCTCATTTAAAGAAAGTCGCTCTCAATCATTTGCATCACTAATAATTTTGATGGTATTTTCCAGTGGTCCCATCATGCCGAGAATAACTGAATGTTTGGCAGCCAAACAAGAGGTTGCTCCGACTACAGGAACTAAGAAACCATGTACATTTGGTTGTGCGGGGGTCTGTGTTGGACCGCTGTGTCCAGGTCATTGATCTAAAATTTTTTTTTCTCCAAATTCTAGCTTTGTCATGATTTACAAATTTTAGAATTGATTTCTGGAATCCAGTCTACATCAATATCTGAATTGGACACAGAGGCACGATTTGGACCCTCATCAGAGTCTAAAAATAACAGCACTTTAGTTTCTAAACCAAATGTACAAGGGGAAACAGATTACAACAGCTATGATGATGCGGAGGTAACAATAGACGAAGACATATTTCAAGAATATGCTGATGAGTATGCAGATACAGATGTGGCAACCCCAGACTCCATCGATTTCCAAGAGGAAAATGAATTTGATAATGAAATAGAGGAAAGAATGTTTGAAGCTGAAGATAAATTTGAAACAGAGACAATGAATGATGAGCCTTTAGAAATAGAGGAAGAAATGGAAGATGAAGAAGAGGTTGCAGATGAAGATATCAATATTGATTCAGGGTTTTTGAACGATGATAAAGGGAACACTGTAGAACTTCCAAGAGCTAACCCACAACCTACATCTAATGCTGCCTCCTCCCCAACTTTTATATTTCTATTTTGTGCAATGGGGGGAATGAATCTTAATGGCGCAGTGACAGCTGTAGATATCCTAAGCAGTTTTACTAAAGCAATTCAAGCTATAACAATTGCACCAATGCCTTCACAAGTAACTCGAGGAGGAGAAATGTCTGCAGCATATACAGGAAGAGCTATTACATCTTGTAGCAATGGGTATTCAACATTGTCCCCTTATGGTTACCTTTACAAGCCCGGATCCTGTTATGACTATAGCCTTAACTCAAACAGCTGGAAACAGACTGGGGCAAAACTGACTACCTACCGCAAAGGGGGTACTTTGACTAAAATGGGGAAGTATCTGATGGCTACTGGGGGTCAAGATGGAATGAGGTCATTGAGGAGCATTGAACTATTTGACCCCAAAAGACCAGAGAAAGGATGGAAACGAATGGGCCGCATGACTATGCCCACAGCAGTGTCTGAACATTGTACTGTGGCGTTAAAAGGTTCCCGCGGTCAGGAGGTCATTATAACAGGAGGAAAAGGCAGAGAAAACAGAGCCTTGAAGTTGGACACTTCTTCGAATAAGTAAAATTCTTTTCTTTAATTTTTTGCAAAATTTATTATAATACTTTGAATTTTTTTTTTTTTGCAGGTGGTATTCCCTCAACCGATTAAACAATGGGCGCAGAAAGCATGCTTGTGTTAAGGTTAGAGATCAATTGCTATTTTTCCAAGGTATTTTTCCCAAAGACAAAATTTGTAAGATTTGCAAAAATCATGAATTTAATTTCAGTTTACTTTGTTTAAAGACTCATAGATCAAAGAAACTATCCTTTTTTTGTCACTGGGAAAAGAGCAGAAATGATTTTTATAAATTAAATCTAAGGTTTTTTTCAAAAGAACTAAATTTTATGATTTGCAATCTTAAGAAAAAAATCATAAAATTTCAGTTTACTATGTTAAAGACTCACAGACCAAAGAAACTATTCCTTGTTTTTGTCACTGGGAACAAAATCTGAACTGATTTTTAAATTCAGGCAACTTTGAATGGTCGAGTGGGAATAGTAGTGTCTGGTGGTGAAAACGAAAAGGACTCTAACATGACCTCTGTTGAGTTTTACGATACTGAAACTGGATCTTGGTTCAATCTACCTAGCCTCAGGTTTCTGGCTTTTCTATGAAATTTATGCACATAATTGTTCAGATATTAATTTTAAATATTTGATTTTTAAATAAAGATGTTCGGGAAAATTTTTAAAGTTTGATTTTATTTTTTAATTCTAGGTCAGGTAGACAGAACCACGCTATGGTGATCAACAAAGGGAAATTAATGGTAATGTAAAATTTAATGTGATGAATTCATATATTCAAAAAAACTTTTTACCATACAAAAATTATTTGTTATTTCAAAATACTTATGTTTGAGTATGTTAGAAAACATAATTTCAAAACTCTATCTCCTCTGGAGTCCAAACTTTACTTTAAGATAGTGCTTATCTGCAACAATTATTTTGATATCTACTGTAACATTTTTCAATTCCGAACGATAAGTTAAATATCCAAGAAGACTTTACTTTAGGACAACTAGAGATATCAATATTTGACTGATCCATTGATTAATAATGAATAGCCTTAAAATTTAGACCTCTGATTAAATTGAGTATTTTATTGAGGTGGCGGGAGGTATGAGGGAGGGAAGGAAAGGAAAAGAATACCTTGATGATATTGAAATCTTCACTGGTCAAAGGTAACGTTTTTCTCTCCATAAATCAGAATTCAAAAAATTTTTTTATTGTTTTTTGTATAGGTGGGTTGTGTCTAGTATGAAGCTTGATCAGCCACGTGCTGGATTCTCATTGGTCAAGATTCCCAGGTCGGCTAGATCCGTCTCAAGCAAACCACGTGTAGCAGCAAATAGAAATTCAAAGATGGCGCCGAAAAAGATGACTCCAACACATGGTCATGCCAAAGAGCAAGAAAAACGAGGACCTAAATAACTATGCAGTAATTATTGCAAAAAATTGATTGAACACATTGATGCAGTTTCCTTCAAAATAAAATTTTTTTTGAATAATTTCAATTTGCAAGGAATGGTTGAGTTTAACCAAATTGGAAATTAAAAGGAATCCTATCATGTAATGTAATGTAAGAATGAAGGCTTTGAAAGTATGTTTGGTGTAATTTAAAGTGGAGATGATTTCCTGGGCTTGGAGGTCCTTGTGCGAAGCAGGAGACAGGAAGTAATTTGCCGAGGATCATGGTGGTTCTGCAGTCTGCACCCTCATATGTCATGTATTAAACGTTAGACTAATCAATTTAATGTTCAGATACAAGTTATGAAATGTTTTAATTACTTGACAGGCATATTTTCAGGAGTTTAATGTTACACTTTTAAAATTTTAAGTCTGTATGAAAAAACTTATTGCTTTATGAGCATACTAGCTGAAGGGCCCGATGTTGCCTGTGGGAAAAAAATTTTTTAAAAATATTTTTTAAAAAAAGGTTTAATTTTTTTAGCCTTTTACACTGCCCGGCCACTCACTTTGTTTTTTTTCTTCATGATTCATGAACGGTTAATTCTATTCATAACTTCTTCAATCTTCATAGATACCAGCTTGGAAACACAGCATTACCCGGAGCGCAAACGTTCTTTACAAAAGTCAATCTACTCAATTAAGAATATTTAAACCAAGCTAACAATCAAAAGTACTATTTTAATATATGTATACAAATAGATATTATGTAGTTATATGTTGAAACCAGGCACGCAACTAGACATTCAAGAAGCGGGGGGGGGGCAAAGGGCAATTATTTTTTGCCCCGCGGCATTTAGAGCGGATTTTCCCCATCATTTGGGAATTGCAGTTTGCTATTCAACTCATGCAATACATGTTTTTGCCTCCAATTTAATAATTTCAGTTATGCAAATTTACTTTTATTAATCCAGGATTATAAAAGGAAATACATGACATTGAAGTATCCCCTTTTAGCAAGATTAATTGTGCCGTTTATTTAAAACAGCCGGAGATGCTGGTGATTCCTACGCCGCTCCTTGGTTCTCTTTATCCGTCAGCCAAAGATTCCTGTCGCGTCGAGATCTCTTCATCCCTCAGTTGACAAGCTTCTCTCAGCCAACTAGGAACAAACATCAAACATTTTTAACACTTTTCCATATCCCCCCCCCTTCTTTCATAATAGAAGAAACTACCACATTTTAAAGTTGATAATTCATATTATCTGGGACGCGTTCATGATTTATCAAGGGACTTGTTATATATTAGGGCGTTATGATGTACTAGCTGAAGGGCCCTGCGTTGCCCGTGGAATAAAAAAAAATGAATTTTTTTTAAATTTTATTTTTGAAAAACACATTTTTAGAATTGTTTACTCTATGTTACCCGTACGGTACCCAAGGGTTCATTCAAAATATATCAGCCCATTCGGTCCATTCGTTTGGCCGGCTATAGGGAACCTATATACGAATGTCTTGTTTCATAATGTAGATGTGCCCATGCTCTAACTGATATTTAAAAAAACATAATGCTATTAGAACAAAAATATTTATTCAGCACAAGTTTGCAACATTTCATTTGAATATCATTTCAAGAAATTCACAATTTTGATTTCTGGAATTTAAAAATTTATAAGAAACAGTGCATTTTTTTAAGTATATAATTTTATTAACAGTGACGTATACATGATTTGTTAAATACTGGGGTTTCATGTTGTACTTGTTCTATAACTGCAACATTTTAATGGAAATATAATTTCAAGAAATTCACAATTTTGTTTTATGAAATTTCACTCTGAAAACTCCTACCTACGCTATTACTGAATAACAAGCAAATTTAAGAAATTAAGACGATTATAATAAAGTTTTGTTTGTTTGTTTAGTTCAGTGGCAGTTTGAAGGTGTTGATCAAGGTAACCAGTGTCCGAATTTAATGAATTTGAGCCGCGTCTTAAATCCGCCAAAAACCGGTTTCAATTCAGCGCCGGCTTAAATCTTGAAACAATGAATGCGATTTTAAGTGGAACCAAATATATTTGAGCCGTGGCTTAAATTTAATCCGTGGCTCAAATCCTTTAAATTCGGCCTCATTTTTGTTACCTTTTTACCATACATTACCAACCCATGATTCCCTTATCAGAATATCATATTTAAAAGATGGGAATTCTTTTTCACAGAAATTAATAATTTTCTCTCAGAGAGGGCATTAAATCCATCGAGACCGAAAAAATTACATTTCTTGTAAAGAGCTGGATTCATTGAAAAGACAAAAAAAGGTTTTTTTTTAAATACACAAACATGTCTAATGAAAGCGTTGCATGCGTAAAACCATTATAATTGTTCTAAAAAATATCGAAGTTTCATGATATTGGCAAAGGTTTTTTGCATTCTTCTGATAAATGATATTTCTTGATTATTTTGGCCAGGTTTTAAACTGATAAAGGTTTCCTATTGGTTCAGGGGCGAAAAACACCGTACATTATGAAACTTTAATAAAATAGAATGTAGGCTTTAGATTTTTCAAATTTCGAATGCAGAAAATATACAATGAGTCGTCCCTGCGCTTGAATTGGCCGGGCTAAGAGTGTGGGATGCTTTTCTTTAAATTTAGGAATGTTGGGCCTTTGGCCCCACTCCGGCTATGAAGTAGTAAGGTGCTAATGAATGGTGCTATGAAGGGGTGTTGTGCTACTGGTGCCTCCCCCCCTTTCCCAACTTTATAAATGTCTCTTGCAGTTCCCTTTGTCAAATCGTTTGTCACCTTTTTATATGAAAACTTGGCAACAGGACTCTCTCATCCTTATAAAAACTTGAAGGAAGAGAGAAGAGATAAACATTTGAAAGATTGAATCACTGAAAAAAAAGTTTGTACTTTTTGATTCCTTCCAAATCGTCATTATTATTGGTTCTATATTTTTCTTCTTTATTGTTCTTTTTCTATTCTTATTCTCTTGCCAAGTTAATAAAATGCTAGAACTGAATTATTAGCTCTCAAACTTCGGGATTTCTTAGATAACACAAAAAAAGGTTATAAAGCTGTTAATTTAAAAAGCTTCTCTTTAATTACTGGTAAAATTTTAATTAGAAAAAAGCTTGTTAAGAATTAAAACTTAAATGGAAAAGTCATCTTCGTTGTATTGATTAATCGCCTACCACTGTTTTTTTACTGAAATCACCCCAAAAAAACTTTTTAGAAATAATAATTTTCTTTTTTTAAAAATCCAGATGAGATTCGAAGTTTTATCAATCCTGTTCCTGGCGATAACAAGTTTTTCGCAGAGGTATTTTTTATAATATTATTCTTAAACAAAATTTTTTTTTATTTTTTAATACTTTACTATTGAAAAATGTAAAACTTTAAAATTCAGTATTTTTTAAAGGACTAGGGACAGTAAACAAATAGAATCTAGAACCACAGTAGTTTCTTGCAGGTACAGTGGTCACAATAATATATTGGATTTTTCATAAACATTGCAAAAAAATAATGTCTACATTTCAATCTATTTAGAAGAACCAAGTTGTTTCTTCAGTAAAAAGTTTATCGTTAAAGAAATATTATTATTTAGATGGACTGTAAGCGTAATTTCAAGTAACTCATCTTGCAAAGACGACAATGCCCGATTTACAACAGTAGCCTTAAAACTTTGTCTGATTATGTATAAATTAGTGTATAGCTATACTGAAACATGTTTTGATAAGCAGGTCGGATTGTCCCCATCATTTGGGATCGATATATAGCTTGTTGATAGCTAGGCTTGTGTCCCAGTGCGGCATTTAGAGCGGATTTTCCCCATCATTTGGGATCGACATATTGCTATTTTGATAGCTCGACTTGTTTCCCTGTGTAGCATTTAGAGTGGATCATTCCCATCATTTCGGATCGATCTATATATATAGCCTGTTTGATAGCTACGCTTGTGTCCCTGTATGCCATTTAGAGCCTGGGAGTCAGTACTAGTTGAGTTTGATAGCGGACGGATTGTACCTGGATAGATACGTACGAGAACTTGTTATGGAGTAGGTGTTTACTATATTAAAAGTATTTGATTTGTTTCGTTAATCTGTTTTTTTTTTTCATTTGCGGGTTCTCTATTTTTTGCTCATAAGTAACACTGGAGAGATTCACAGAAATTAACAATTTTCCAGTCAGAAAACAACGTAATCTTCCACATTTGTGATTATATAAAGGTTTCAAGGGCACCATTGTAAACTAAACATTGCTATCTTTGCATGTAGGGTCACTTAAAATTATCGCTCACAGCCCCTTTTAAGCTAAACACTATCTTTGTTGTTAAAGTAATTTAACCACTTTATTTTTAAGTCCTAACACAATCAAGTTAGAAATACCTGTTTCTAAATCTTGCATTCGAAACAGAATCCTTTTCTCTTTCAGAGTATTCCGCCAGGGAGTTTGTAAGAAAAGTTCTGAAAATATTATCACTGTCAACAGAAGTATCACAAGTAGGAAAATTAATTTATTAAAAACCAAAATAAATCCTATTTTTCGTTTCAATGAAGCATGTCTATAACTCAAACGATTGGATGATCAAAGTNTTTAATGGCATATATATAAGATATATAAAGAGCATCTTTTTAAACTAGGGGTTAGTTTTTTTTGTTGGGGACAAAACTTCTTATTTTTTTGAGCATTATCAAAATAAAAAGGGGCATTTTTTTTAGATAGGGTTGTACATTTTAAAGTTGGTTGTATTTATAAAACATTTGGGGGAAAAAAAATTTTGGTGCAAATTTAAAAATAATTGGTGACATTCTAAAAAAAATAAAAAGGGCTAACACATGTTTAATAAAGGGGTAAATTTAAGTCTGGTGGAGCAATTTGAATAAGAATGTGTGAGTTTAATTCTAAAAATCCAAATTTGGAGGCATTTTTAAAGAAGGGGAAAAATAAAAAGAATCTGAGCTTATATTGAAAAATGTTATAGTTGTATTTGAGTTTGCTTAAAGAGTGTACGGCTATACAAAAAAATTACTGTGGAGCATTTTTTTCTTCAAATTTTCGAGAAAATTAGCTATTATTTTTATTATGTGGACCCCTGTTAAAGACTTCTTGCCCCTACAGGGGGGGGGCAAGATTTCTTAAGGGGGGCATGTCCCCTCTTAATCAGGCTAAGGGGGCCTGGTCCCATGCCCCCCTCTAGTTGCACGCCTGGTTGCAGAACTCAGCTTTTCCTGGAAACTCAACTTTCACTTCAATTAGTTCTCACCCTCCACCTAAAATTCAAATCGAGTTATCTTGTGGTTATAGTTTTCATTTCAAAATTTGAGGTAAATGGGTCATCAAGGGGTCATTAGTAAAGATCGTACAATCAAACACCAAAACAGAGATTACTTAATTATATAAATAGATAGATAGATTCTACTATAATTTATAGACATCAGTATGAGTAACAACTCTTATTTTCTCCTCCAATATATTTGCAACCTTACGGTGTGAACCATTGCTATTTCAAACTTGGGAGATTTGATTTAGCAGAATTCATAGTTTTAAATATGTAAAGTTCTACCCCATCGGGTTGCAACGATGAAATTAAAGTTTCAGACAAGCGTTCATTTCTTTAGTTTCTAAATTGATAGGTAGGGAAAAGTATTCACTATAGTTTCAGTAGAAGTAAATATTTTCATTTACTGATATCGCCGATTGAAGGATTCATATCTCTAATTGGATAATGAGATAGATTGAAAGATAAATGATACCGCCTTACTATTTCTATTGGTTCAGAATAGACAACAAACACATGACTGAACCCTGATTGGATCAGGCTCTATAATGGACTCGGCAAACAGGAGTGATTATTCATGAATAAAAGAAGAAAAACTGTTAAAAGGGACTCTAAGTATAATTGTAGGTGACCCTCCGTGTAAAGGTGTCAATGACCGATCTACAACAGATCAAGTATGAATTAGATATCAATGTTAAGAATTATCAAACATAGGTTCTCTATACAAAAATGACTTACAAAAAATTATAAAGAAACTATCAGAATTTAAAACTTTTGAACCCAGAAAAGCGACATTATCTTCAGATGTTTTTTTCACAGAAAGGTCTCAAGGGGATAGACCGTTCTGAATCGGGCATTGTTATCTTTTCATGAAGGTTCACTTGAAAAACCTCGTATAATCCCTTTCAAGAAAGTTATAAAGATGTAAAACTTTCTGAGTATATATGTGCAGGTCTATGGTATGGGTTTGGTTAAGTGTTCTATTGAGACTAAATGTATCATCCATCCTTTATCTCCTTGATATAGTAAACCTGACAGTCTGTGACTGAAAAATGTGTTTTTGCTGTCAGCAGCTCTTACTGGGATAATAGAACTACAAGATTGGGGCAATTTAGACATTATTCTACAGCTTGGGTAAGAAATATGAGATTTTCTATGTGAACATATATCTAGCTCTGCTTTATGGTATTAAGGATGAAGATTGGAGGGGGGAGGGGGGGTGGTTACATACACAGAGATCAGAATTAATGAACAGCTAAGAAGTATTTGAACAAATAGCGAAACGATTCAGAGAGATGTAACTCAACTAGTTATCTATTAGACCTAGTTAAACTACTTCTCCAGCCACAGTTGTATTATTGATCGTGACGTTTTCAGAAACCTTAAAAATCTTTTTTTCTTAAGAGAAGGGGTTTCCGTACAGGAACTAAATACAAGAGAAGGGGTTTCCGTACAGGAACTAAATACAAGAGAAGGGGTTTCCGTACAGGAACTAAATACAAGAGAAGGGGTTTCCGTACAGGAACTAAATACAAGAGAAGGGGTTTCCGTACAGGAACTAAATACAAGAGAAGGGGTTTCCGTACAGGAACTAAATATTCAAAGGGACTTTAAGTAAATTTCTAAGTGACCCTCCACGCAAATATGGCAATGTCCGATTCACAATTACATCCTTGAAGCCTTTGTCTGATCCATGATGTGGAAGATATTGTCGTTTTTCTATTTCTAGATTGTAAATGTTTAATTGTGATAATTCATAAATGATTTCCTGCAGAAGAAATGCGCAAGTCATTTTAGAAGAAAAAAATCGTTTTTGAAATTATTATCATTATTTTAATTCATACTTGATCGGTCTATGGTTTTAAGGGTACCGTTGTGAATCAAGCATTGCTATCAGGATCTAATTTTCTAACCTTTAATCTGTATATCTTAAAACCTGGTGTCGTAGACCTAAATGATATTTCAAACTATGAATTTTGCTCGAACAAATAGTCAAAATAATTAGCAAAGGCTTACACCATCAAGTTGCAAAGATAAAAGGATAGATGATAAGAGTTTGTGGCCAGCGATCAGTTCCGAAACGAAAATGTAAAAAAATTTATGATATTTATATTCAATATCTGTATATTTTGTAAATGTATGTATATATGAAGATATTCAATTCAAAACCAATATATTCAATTTCAAAATCCATACATTTATTTATCCGCATTAGGGATCATGGGTTCATTTTATTATCTTAATTCCTGTATCCTTCATTCTGTATCCTGTATCCTATATCCTATATCCTATGTCCTGTTATCTGTATCCTGTATCCTGTAATCTGTATCCTGTATCCTGTAATCTGTATCCTGCACTCTCGGTATCCTGTAATCTGTATCCTGTAATCTGTATCCTATAATCTGTATCCTTTAATCTGTATCCTGTAATCTGTATCCTGTAATCTGTATCCTGTAATCTGTATCCTGTAATCTGTATCATGTAATCTGTATCCTGTAATCTGTATCCTGTAACCTGTATCCTGTAATCTGTATCCTGTAATCTGTATCCTGTAATCTGTTTCCTGTAATCTGTATCCTTTTATTTTATATCCTGTAATCTGCAGTATCCTGTAATCTGTATCCAGTAACCTGTATCCTGTAATCTGTATCCTGTAATCTGTATCCTGTAATCTGTATCCTGTAATCTGCAGTATCCTGTAATCTGTATCCAGTAACCTGTATCCAATCTGTATCCTGTAATCTGTATCCTGTAATCTGCAGTATCCTGTAATCTGTTTCCTGTAATCTGTATCCTGTAATCTGTATCCTGTAATCTGTGTCCTGTAATCTGTATCCTGTATCTGCAGTATCCTGTAATCTGTTTCCTGTAATTTGTATCCTGTAATCTGTATCATTTTATTTTATTTCCTGTAATCTGTATCGTGTAATCTGTTTCCTGTAATCTGTTTCCTGTAAATAATCCATGAGTCTTGTCCCAGAATCATGTAATCTTTGTTCATGTATCATGTATCACATATGTATCATGCATCGCGTATCATGCATCCTTTTCCTGCATCATATATACTGTATCCTGTTTTTTGTGCCCTTTATCATGACGTGTCTTGTATCGTGTTTTAATGTATTCTTTATCCTGTATCTGAGGTATCCTGTAACCTGTATCATTATCCTTTTCCCTGTATTATAAATCCTGTATCCTGTTTCCAAAGTACTGCAGCTCTCAATCAAGAATCACAATCAGTTAAATCCACTTACAGTTATATTTAATCATCTACCCATCAATGTAATCATCTATCTATCTATTCAATCAGCTTATTTAATCTCTCTTTGTGTTTACCCAATTTTCTATTCATTTGACGTTTATTTTCTCATATTTTCTGTTATTTAAACACGACAATTGAGAGAGACCTTTTTAATAAATCTTGTCTTAATTTCCATTGACCTTAGACTGATCATGTCAGATTCACAACGCTATCCTATAAAACTCTGTCTGAGTAATGATGAGGAAAATACTGTCGTTGTTCAATTTAAAAACATGTCACTTTTGTAGGGTACCCTTGTCAATTGGAAGTGACACTTTGTAATAAGAAGGTCACTTGAAACTTTACATCCAACCCCTTGAGTCTTCTTTCTCTGTACAGTATTTTAAACCCTTCATTCTTATATGTAAACAAAGGCGACAACAGTTCTGCGACTAAGGACTCTAACAGTAAACATTGTGTGTATTTCTAAAGAATACTATTGATTACAATCTGGCAAGTAACTTCCGGTTCACCACGTGCTCTTCTGAAGATTTGACTTCCGGTGGGCGCGTGGCGGCCGCCATTTTCTTTTGACAAACTTATCTAATCACATGTAGATTATTTACAATTAGGAACATCCATAAAACACATTGAATACATTTTATAATTTTGAATAAATAATCATTTTTTTTCTTGTTTTTCCTGGCGTTCTTAACGTTCTTAGCATTATAAATCATAATATGATATATAATTAGTTAAATTGTATAGGTCGAGGACCTGTACTTCCTTGCATAAAAATTTATAGTCTTTCAGAAATCATTATTTTTGAACTATCGCTGCAACTTCGTTCGAATTTTCCCAATTTTTCGTTTTTTTCATCTTTTCTTCTAATCTTTCTCCCACGCCATTGATTTCTTGTTTCCCTACTATTTGATATCCCATCACATTACATTCACAATTAACCTCACAGGGCGGAAGTGTTTCAAC